ACCAAAAATTAATAGTAAATTCACTAAGTGACAGATGTTAGAGGTTATGTGTTTTGGAAAAGAGCGTGGAGGCTCTGGGGCTCTGGGGGAGCACTGTGCTCGAGTCTCGACTACTGCTGAAAGGAAAGGCCACGCTGAGCAGGTGACACTGGGTGAGTTGGCCTTGGAGGCTTTGGGGGAAGAGATTTCCCAGGGGAGGGTGAGGGCGAGGCAGATGGAGGAGGGAGTTACAGTCAGCTGTGGGGAAGGAGCAGGTGTGGTGGATCTTGTGGGGCCCTGCAACTCTTTTCCTGATGGAGTGGAAGCCAATGGAGGGCTGGAGGGAGGAGGATTAAACCCAGCTCAGCAGTGCCTGAGCATCCCCCTGGCTGCCCTGAGGAGGGGGATAAAAGGCCCATGATGGGAAGGAGGGGTGGCTTTCAAAGCAAGCTAGTGAGAGGTGGGAGAGGCTGTGGGGGCCCGTGAGGAGGGCTTGGTAGAGAAATGATCCCCAGTCTTGGATCCAAGGTGTCAGTGAAAGGAGCTTTCTGACCCATCTTTGAATGTGACCTTAAACTTAAAATGTGGGGATGTTCTGATAGTGAAGTATTAATAGAGGGAATGATTTGTAAGATTTTGGCATAATGACTGTGCCCATACTCCATTTAGACCAGTATCTTGGTTTGCAAAAAGAATGTGGGCCCCTTTCCCTATAAAATACCTACCGTGGGCTCCTCGCCATTCCATAAACTCAGAGCTCTTTACATTACCTTGGGTAAGCTCTGCAGAAGGAAAGCCTCCTAGATTTGGGTGAAAAACACCACATGTAGGTAATCCCAAGGTTTTGAAAGAGGGCGTGGCTGCTGGGGTGCAATACTTACACTTTTCAGAAAGTTTTGGACAATGTTTGGCCCAACAGGCTAGTAATAAAAATGAATGTATCTTGGATAAGAAATTGTTTTAAAAACCTGTAGGATAACGAAAACACTTGTTCTTAGTTAAGAAACCTGAAGCATTTGCCTCAATAAATTTCAGGCAAATGTGGCAAAAGATACTTCCCAGAGAACACAGCAGGTCATGGTGTCATTGTCACCCCAACATTGGTATCTACGGAGAACCCAGTGTGCTCTTAAGTTGAGTTGTATTTGTGGATAACATCATAGATAACAGAGCAAATGCCAAGAAGGTTGGATGCCAGCCTTTGAGGAAAGCCAAGGAGTCTCTCCCTGGATAAGTCACGCACCAGCCCTCAAATCTAAATCCAGCTTTCCCTCCCTACATGCACTAGCTGCTTCACCCCGCACCACGTGCATAGCCAGGAGTGGTAAATGTCCTCCTCTCACTGACAGGTGCCAGCTCTGCTGAGTTCACTGTTTCCCGTCTTTCTATTTCCATTGCTGCCAGCTTACTGGGAGTCTTTCTCCTCTCTCTCTAGAATGTTTGCTGCCTTTTTTCCAGCCCCGGCCTCATCCATCCACAGTTCTGGCCCCAGAGTGAGAGTCCCCAAGTACAGAGCAGGTGGCGTCCCCACTCCCTCAGTATCCCTCCGTGGCTTCCTCTTGGCGTCCAGATGAAAGCCAAGACCCCTACCTTGGCACACCCCCTTTCTGACCTGCGCTCGGCCCCTTGTCCTCCGTTCTCTGTGAACCACTGCCTTCCTTATCCCCTTGTCTGTGGACTGATTTACAGTCCCCCGTGTTTCCTTATTGTCCCTCTGGCCACTTCTTCCATGGTGTCCACTTCCAGGTCTGGCCAATGCTGCTTCCTCTTCAATATCCCAGCCAGGAAAACACTTCCCTTAGAAGTCTTGACTCCTTTTTCTGCAACAGGTCTTCCTCCTGTGCATTTTCACAGCATTTTGTGTTTACAGCACGAATTACAGTAAATTAGATTGCTACTATTGAAATAAAAGAACTCCAGCTCCTTCAAAGTTCACTAAGTCTTTCCTGGCATGTGCAAATCATTTGTTTGCTTGTGTAAATATTTGCTGTGAGCTTCTAGGCCTTAGGACCCGAGACCCATGTTGCAAAAAACATTTTAGGATTTAATGGCATGGATTCTTTCTTGGACTATCACAAAATGCCAGATCTAGGCAGGGCAGTGCCCCGCAGCGGGCAAGCAGCTCCTCTTTAGGGACAGGGTTGCGGAAACTGGACCTTCTGTGTTAGCCGATACCTCCTTCTTTCTTCATTGCTTGCAGTGGTCTTGCATGGCTCAGATCCTTCTCCAGTAACCTTGGTGTCTGCATCCCTTGTAGGAAAGCAGGACAGGGCCAGACAAGGCCACTGTGGCCAGGGGAAGCAAGGAAGGCCAGAGGTGACCCGAGGCCCACATGGCGAGGCAGGTCCAGGTGGGCAATGGGCTCAGTGACTGCTTAGCAGGAGGCTGCCAAGCCTGCCTAGCACTGACAGAGTTCTGGATTCCACAGGAGACCTAGGGAGCTCCTTGGGGGTGGTGTGCAGTGTACACAGAGCGATCAGCAGGCTGGACAGGGAGCCTCTGCTGTCCTTCTACCAGGGACAGTTTAGCTAAGTTTAGCTGGGGCTGCTCTAGCTAGATGCTTAATGGTCTTCCAGGGCTCTGACCAGGCAAGGTGAATCCTGTGCCTTAGGAGAGGACATCTCCTTATCCAGCTGCGCTTCCTCACTCAGGGAAGAGAGGACGAGGAACCCGGAGCTTCCTTCTCTTGGACATGGGGTTCTTTGGGGAGTGTCTGTCCCAGGGAGGGGTTTCACTCAGCCCTTGGAAATGGGGAGAGGGTGAGACTGGCTGAGGGTGGCTTTGCATTTTTCTTTTGCTTGGATGACTTCCTCCAACACCAAGAATCATACGGAGCCAAAGGGAGAGACCTGGTGGGGGGGAGGGGGGCAGGGTTTGACACTGCATTTCCCACAGTTCCTCCTGCACATTCACATCTCTGAACCTTCATAGAGCACTGTTTTTCATTCCACCAACGGCCTCTGATGACTTCTCCTTGTCTTTCTGATAAATCCCGAGCTCCTGAGGCCAGTGTTTGAGAACCTCTCCAACTCACCCCACCTCCTCCGCCCTCCTCACTCTCAGATACTGGAACACATGAGGCCATTCCTGCCTGTGCTTTTGTCCATCTGCTTTCATCCACTCAAAATTCATCTCCTCTGCTCTCAATGAGTGCAAAATTTGGCAGATAAATCCGACCTGCTCTTCTCCTTGTGCAGCCAGGTGCATTCTTGCTTTCCTCTCCTTAATACTCGAGCCTGGTGGTTGCCAGTGAGACGGAGTAAGTGCAGGGAAGACAAAATGCAAAGGGTGGATGTGGGTGAACTGTACTTTCCAGAAGGGATCTGTCTACATTCCTACAAGAAATAAATGCCTTAGGATTTGCGTCTTTTATTCTGTTCCCTGGAGTACCAGATACCTCCCCTTCTCGATGGTGGTCCTTATTGAAGACCTGCAGGATAGTTTTGCATCACTGAGTCAGAGCAGACCTTGGGGCTCCTGTGACAGATCATTCCCAGGGCCCCGGTGACTTGAAGCTGTCGGTTTTCTGTCCAGCCATGCAGACGCTGCTTACGTAATTCTGTCCCAGAGGTGTTCCCAGCACTCATGACTGTAGGCAAAGCAGGCTAACAAGCAACTGCAAGAACGGGATCGTTTAGATAAAGTGTGAATCGCCTACACTTTGAATTCTGAAAATACTAATTTGAGCAGGGTGCCAGAAGAACTTCTGGGGACATGGGCCAGGGCAAGTGGACTGAAAAGGTGGTACAAAGTTCTCATGAAGGCACAGTGACAGAACCTGCAATGCACTGTCCACGTAACAGGGTCTGTGTGTGAGTAGTGGGCACTGACTGATTTTTCAGATCTTGAATACAGAAGGGCTAGTGGGCTAGCAGCACCTGATCGTCCGAGGATGTGGGGAGTGTGGATCAGCACTTTTCCTAATGCTGCCGATGTTCTGAGGGCAATGTCTTTTTGCAGAGCTGTGTCACATGGACATTGAGCTGCATGTTTTCTCCGCATCGCAGCCTGTGGTACCCAGGGCGCTTAGCTCCAACTCCATCAGCTGCAATGGGACGCCCTTAATGGATCATTTGGCATGTGTGGCAATGCCTACATGAAACAAACTTCTAAAAAATTTAAACTGAACCTTTTAAAGCTTCCCCCAGGGGAGTCCGCTTGTGTGGAAAGGTAATAGAGTTTGTGACATCAGAAGCCTTTTTTGTTAGTCTCTTTGGAAAATGTTTTTTTTTTTTCTCCTTTTTCCTGACTTCATTTTCTTCCTTTCTTCTTTTTTTAAGGAAAACTTATTATTTCATTAAAAAAAAACAATTTTAGGATGCATTTTATTTCAGAAACTATATATAAGGGCAGCAGATTCATAAATTCTATCCAGCTTGAGTTATGTTTTTATTTAGGTTTTCTCATTCATTATTTTTAGGTGTAGAGTCATATTTAGATTGGGGCGATGGTAGGGCAGGAAAAACATAAACCTCAATAGTCAATTAATTTGCATTTTAAAGAACTGTGTAGTCTCTAAACTGTCAACATTTGAAGGAGACTTTTATTCTAAAAATCGTTCCTTGTAATAATTAATTTTTAATAAACTCTGCTCCCAACATATTATTGATGACCATGGCTGAATTTAAAAGTCATTATTTTGTATGATGGGATTTATAGAATTCTTTTTAACTATTTTTATAGAAGTCAGTAGTTTGCAGTATAAATCCAGCCACCGAATTGTGCTGCACAATCTGTCTCTCTGTTTGTGTGAATAAGGTTGGATGACCCTCGGGTGGCACAGGTTTAAACCGGAGACAAAGTGCAATCCAATGTGCTCCTGTAAACATTTTAATGATCTATTCAGGTGATTGTAGCTGCAATTATGAGCAATATTGCAGTTCATCTTTCACTGGCTCATATATATGTAGCAATTTATTTTATATTCGATCTGGGTGCATAACTCAGTAATTATGACAGTTACCCAAAGATTTCTGGGCTATGTGAATTAAAAAAATGTTCTTAATAACCTTGTATTTCTTCCTGAAGAACCTATAAAAAGGACAGATTGCTTTTCAGGGAGACAAAGGACCATTAGAGTCCTGAGGGGAAAGGGTCTCTTCTTTGGCTTTGCTCTGGAATGTTTCACCTGCAGTCTTCTTTTTCAACCGTCTGCAACAAGGAACAGACAGGGGCATAGGTGAGTTCTGTAGGGCAGTCCTGTCCCTACCACTTTTAGACTGAACCCCTTAATTTATTATATGAGGCTCAGGTGGATACTGAAGTCAAGATTAGACTTCTTCTTTTGAGCCAGGTAAGGGATTAAGATGCAACAGGCAGAGAGCTCAGTGATCTTGTGTGTGTCTTTCTGTTAAAAGTACAGCTCCTTTAGGTCTGGGATCCAGAGCACACGTTCTGATACTTAACGACCCTCACCTCTCTATGTTTAACCAGGATTTAAGTAATGCTTACTCTTTGCCAGATGCGTGCAAAACACCTTACAAATAATTGAGTGCTTTAATCCTTCCATTGTCTCTAAGACAGACTGTCTTCCTGCTTCAGGTGAGCATGCCCTTTGTCTAAGGTCATAACTTTGGAAAGGGGCAGGGCTGGGATGTGACCGTGCGTGGTTTGCTCAACGTCTACCCCCTTGGCCATAGTCGCTGTCATTTACCAGGCATTTGGGTCTCCCTTGTGGAAGCCACACCCTCCCTGCGTGGCTGGTACTGTTAAGTAGTGCTGCCTGGTGATGCCTCTCTGGAATAGTTCAGGTCCTTCAAGAGATGCCATACAAATCTGCACTGTGCTGACACCTCCCTCCTCTTTGCACCTTACAACTTTGTTGCTGTGGACACCTGGATAGACTTTCTTATTTCTGAGACTCTCTACTCCCTCATAGGATAGCTGCTTCCTCCTCCTGGGTCAGGCATTCTCACTGTTCACCTTTCCAAGCAGAGCTGGATTTTTATCTCTTCTGGCCATTGCTCCTCAGGCACAGATGTTTGGTACCTGTGCACCCCAACCCCACAGCAGGCTTCAGCCTCATTTGTCTTGGACTGGATGTAGGATTTGTGGTTTGGTTCAGTAGGCCCCAGAGCCTGGTATTTCTGGGTGGTAAGTATGGGGCCCCAGTTCCTCCCTCTCCCCTAATGAGGCCCTGTAGAATTTTAAAAACCTTGCCACTCTTTGAGGGATGAACTGTTGCTATTGCATTTGACACACTCCCCCTTAGGTGGGTCAGCGCTGCTGAAGTAACTCTCCGCACTGTCGTAAATCTTTCTGGAATACACTCTTCAAAATATAGGCGGATCTCCAAAAATACCTGGCTGTCTGTAATTTTGAAAGACAATGGTTTTTATGAATTCAAACCAAAAATGTGAAAAACAAAAGCAAAAAATGAAATTCAAACCATTACACCAAGAGAATATTAATTTGGTGCTGAATGTACCTATAGTATCATTTTGAATGAACAATATTAGTACTGCCATATGGGCTAGAAGTTCTAAATAGTTACTAGTTTCCTTAGCAATTTGTTTCTTGTTATGACTTCTCCAGTGATCTATAATAGTTTTGGCAAAGTGAAATAACAATGCTTTCCTATAATCATAAAAACTACATCTTTGGTTAGCTTGATTTTGATATATGAAATAGATACATTAGTTTCACGTGCAAAGTGAGGATTAGAAAATATCAAAAAATCGGTTTATAGGTCAAGTGTGTGTTATAACAAAGTTTTCTATTTTTTAAAGAATTCTTACAGTCAGCACACTTAACTATTCCTGATGTCACCAAGTCTAGCATCTTTACCGTATTAGAGGGACTTTTTCACTTCATTGGGAAGCAACTTTTTTTTTAACAGTTGTCAAAAAAGGAAAGCAAATAAATATTTTGGGACAAAAAAATCTTGCCATAAGTAGAATCACATTCTGAATCATTCACCAACATCAAGGAGGTGTAGGTCAGGCAGAAACAAAGGGTGCTCAGAAAGAGGGTCGTTCATGGGTCGTATCAGATGTCCATAGAAAATAACCCTTCTTAGGAGTGTGCCTGTGCGATGTGTTTGTGTTGGCTCCGGGAATGATTACAGACACCAATGAAATATGCATTTCTCTTTTACTTTGTGTACAGGCAGTTTCTTTTGGAGAGAAACTGAAGAGAATAAATAAATGATCAACTGAGAAACTTTTTAGGAATGTTTGGTTATTGCCTGTCAAAAGAGTTTCTTTCACTAAGGAGATATGGGTTTTATTCTTTATCACTTAGCAAGTGCTTTTAGGCCAATTTACTTTATATTTTTGTCTCTTTTTGGTTGTTGTTGAGTTCTGGTGGATTCGCTGAGTTTTGAAGAGGTGACACTGCATAAGTAACTGGAGAAGAGGAGGAACATCTCACTGTAAAACCAAGTACCCGGGGACTAAGATGTTTGGGTTTTAGTTTTTCACTCGAATCACTTGACTGTTGAATTGAACATAAAGTTCTTTTGTCAGCAGACGAAATGAAGTGAAAAGGCATCTATCCAGGAAGAAAGAAACCCCTTCCTGGTAACTGGAGTCGTCACAAAGGGGCTCATGTTTTATATTTCATTTATTAAAGTTCTTGAAAATGAAATATGCTTAAGAACCTTTGTCAATTTATTCTTCTACATGATAAGGTTTTCCAACGCAAATTCATAAATTGCTATAGAAGAGAGGTTTAGATCTACTGGCTGGCACCTTTCGATTAGAAATTTTGCACATATTGTGAGTGTAGCCATGCAAGAAACCACCCATCTCGACCTGAATTTATTCTATCCGTTTACTGCCTGGAAGGCTTTTCTGCCTGTGCAATTAATTACGCAAACAAGACCAGTGTTGGTACATCTGACAGATTATAAGAATCAGACTCTTGCACTGGGACCTCGGTGGGTCTTGCAAGGAGACAGTCCTCACACATCCCGCAGAACACAGCCTTTGATTCTTCCTCTAAAGCTTTACTCTGTTCCGATTGGTACTCATCGCCATGGGAGGTTTGTACTTGCAAATTACTCTATTGCTGTTTTCATTTCCTCTTTGGCAACAGAGCCAATCAGTGTCTCATTATTTAGAAGGCCCATTTTTGGCATTTTAATTTTAGCTAGAATTTTCATAATCTCAGTTATCAGCTGCTAACTCAGATGCAAATATTGCTTTGGAGAACCAGGGGGAAAAAGAAAATAAAGGATTACCATATAAGGAACTCAGCGAAATAAAAATGTGGTTCTCTGATTTTGATTCTAAAGAGTTAATGCATCTGTTACTTTTGACATTGTCATCCTTGTATGAAATTGTAGAAAGCTTTGTTAAGAAAATCACAGATGTAACATACTGATCTTTAGAATTCAGCTTTGGGTATAGAGCCACAAAGGGTGTTATTGGGATCATAACAAATGGGTTTAGATCCCTGCAGGAAGATGTTTGCACTCATGAGCTGGGGTGACATCGTACTGGTGTGCAGGGTAGCTGAGACCAATGATAAGCATTGTCTTCAAGGGATTTTGTGCCACTCCTACTGCCCCATTCTAACCATTTCTTTATGTGAAGAATTAGAAACATTAATATTTAGGAGGAAAGATGAGAAATATGAAAAGCAACAAAAGACTAGGGAAAAATTCCAGGTGCTTTAGAATTCACATTATTAGACAAACTATGGAAATCAAGATATGATTTTATTGTGATAAAATGTCTAGTGGGTTCAAATGAACTTTGGAACAATAATCTGTGAATGTGACTTTTGATATTCCATTGGTGTTCTGTGGTCAGGGGTCCAACTGTACTTTATTTTTAAGATTTTTATTTTCATTAGTCTGTTTGCAGCACATGATGATTCTACTCCTGGTGGGGAGTTGGAATGAACATAATACATCTTAGTTCTTTCTTCATTCCTTTTCTTTGCCTTCCCTTTTCCTTCTCTTTATTTCTTGCTTCTCAGGAGTATAATTTTAACCTTTGTAAAAGACACTAGTTTGTGCGAAAATACCTAGACTTATTTGAGGAAGTTTGTAATTTCATAGACTTTATTTATTTGGCTCCTAGGTAACTCATTTTCAGTTTCTGGATCTGTATCCCTGATGGTGCTCTATCTGTTTACATGGGGAAACATTTCCTATGCCACAGGATCTGGGGGAGAAACTAACATGCCAGTCCGTTCGGTGGTCTCCAGCCTACGGACCAGATGACTGGGTGGGGACTCTTTCTTGGGTTCTCCATTGGAGCCCTGAGATCCTTGGTTAGTCAGGAAGAAGGCAGCAGGGCAATGTGCTTGCTGGGAAACGGTTGTTTTAACTGGTTGTTTTTAGTCCCTGGAGGGGTACAACTGGTTCATTCTGAATCAGCAAGGATATATCAGTGATGCAAAGAAATATATTTTATCTACAAGAAGAGGTGCAGCCACCAGGTGAGGTCCCTTCAATGCTCCTGCCTGGGACTGATGTGCAGGCGCCAGTTCTTCCCTAACCCTGCTGTTTCCTGCTGCACACTGTCCTGGCTGATCCTCCAAGGAGGTGTAAAGTCCTCTGAGAAGGAAGTTCTGATGGGGTCAGAAGTGCATGTGTGGAGGAGGTCTCCCTCAGGGTTGTGACCCAGAAGGGCCATGTTGAGCTGTAAAACTGGTGTGGCAGCCTGGGTGGAGTGTCCCCTTAATGGATTTTGGGATCCATTTGGGAGGTTGATGGAGCACATTTCTGGGTAGGTGTGGGTGGATCATAGAAATATATCCATGGGGTCCATATCTGGTCCCTCGCCTTCCTCTCTGGCACTATTTACCCTAATCTGCTTCTTGGCTGCCATGAACTGAGCATCTTTGGTGTGCCTTATCCTTCCATCACGATTTTCTCCCTTGGACCCCACTGACCATGGACTGAATCTCTTGAACTGTGAGCCCAATAAATGTTTGTTCTTTTAAGTGGTGGGTGTGGGCTATTGTGTCTCAGCAATGGGAAAAGTGACATTAATTGGGTAATCCCTCTTTGGAAAGCATTATCATATATGCAGAAAGCAGGGCAGTGGTACATGGTCTTCACACATTTCAGACTTTTCTCATGGAAATCAGCATCAGCAAATGTAGATGGTATTAAAGAGGGCCCATGTCTGCCTGAGTCCGAGAAGCCATCCAGAGCAAATAACTTCTGAGATGACATTTGTAGAGTGTGAGGCTTACTTTGTGAGGGAACACAGGGATAATAGA